ATCTCCACCCATACGCCAGCGTTTACCCAGTATGTAGGCGGATAATGAGGATGTGGAGGTGGGATCACCTATGAGAGCACACTACCATTGTGTGACCTCGATAATACAGCACTTACCGTAAGGAAAGGATTATCCTCAGGGTTCATTTGATAGAGCCTTGTGTAACAGTAACTAAAAAAGTCAATACAAACTTTGCAAAAAGTCGTTAAAACAATCGAAACGTACTTGTCAGTTTCTGATCCTTTCCTGCATATGACTACCGTAACATAATGTGTGTAATAGTTGCAATAAAAATCGGCAAAATAAAAGTTGTTGAGCGCTGGATCCAATAAAGCACCAGGTGGTACAAGCATTCGAACGTTTCCAAAAGGCGAATGAGTGGGCAAAGAACCGTCGGCATACGTTCGAGCCGAGAAGAATAAACCTAAAGATGTTTTTTTGCTAATGTTACGATTTTCGCCTGCTCCCACATCACAAAAATGGGGAAGTTGACAAGGGGAAAGACAAACAAACTTCAAAAAATTGATCTAAATAAAATCAGAAATCTGAAGTAATCTCTTCATCAAGAGGCACTTACCGGAGATCAAACCATTGATTCGATTGGCAGGTTGTCCATTATTATCCTTGATGTACTTCTCCATGATATCGTCACGGCAAGCGTGAATTTCGTCCCAATACTCTCGAGGCTTGCATCTTAACAAATACACTCGGTGTAAAATAGTATCTGACAAGCGTATAACTCCATATATTTGAAAAAAATTCTAAAGAATGCAAATTTGATGAATATTTGATATATATAATTCTTTCCAGCACCTCGGAACCCAGTGGAAATTACAACTACAAAAGTTTTTCCGCAATTAAAAGACAATTATGTAGGTGGCGAAAAGAACTATACTGACTGATAGTATGTCAAACTTCCAAAGCTTAACAACCGCTTACCTATATAAAACCTCAAACGCTTGCATTTGCGTTCCAACAAAGTTTAGACACTTGAAGTACATCTGTTTCATCTCGTCATAGCTGAACACTAAAGAAAACGTGTTTACAATTTTAACGACCTGCAAAAACGCAATACATACCAGCTTTGATTTCTTTGTACACAGCTGCTATGACGTTCTTATCCTTGACATTCTCACATTCTAATCGAATACTGAACAAATCTTGAAAGACGCTTTTTGGAAAAGTCAATCCAAATTCAGTACCAGTAGGTGTTTCCTGGAGTGGTTCTGAGTTCTCGCTGAGTTTGCGCCCAAGACTGGTCAAAAACCCATTTTCGCCCAGACTCTTTATCTTGCACTTCCAGTTGATATCGGATGGTTTCTGGAACATACCTAAGGTATTTGGATTTAAAAAAGTATGAAATAATGCGTAATGCGTGCAGGAATTATAAAATTTGAAGGTTGAAATATTCTCACAGCACAGCACAGGCACTCACTTAAATGAGTAGGCGGTTTCCAACTTATATCCACCTTTTGCGCACTGATTTCACAGTTCAAAATTAATGGGTCCGGAATTGAATTTTCTGAGAAATCGGCAAAGAGACCTCTGGTGATAGTGGCTCGAGCTTCTCGGAACTCAGATCGGTGGCGTGGGAGAT